TTGCAGTTGCAATTTATGACGTTACTTATTTTAAGTATAAATAGCAAAAGATGACCTAATAATAATAATATTTCCTGAAATGCTCACTCTGTGCAAATATATCCTGCGGCCCTCACGAAGAGCCTCCTAAAAAGTAAAAATATAAATTGGTACCCAATTGATACATATAAGCAAAAATTAAAAAATGTAAAGAATTAGGCTATTATTAATTTCATGTCCATAAAATAAGTGTTTTTTGAATGTTCGAATATGAGGAAAGTGGTCGAAGAAATGTGTATGGCTTTATGGAGCGTGAAGATCCATGCTACAGAAACATGTAAAATGGTGAAAAACTCAAATAAAATTTCATTTAAAGAATTTATGACATAATTTATCTAGAGGATGGAAATAAGCTAAAATAAATTAATGCAATATGAAGGATAAAGTTAAAAATAGCTGACTTCTTCATCTTCAAGTGCAGTATGTGATATCTAGTGGACAAACAAAAGAACACTCACCTTTGAGATAAATTGGCGATTTTGCGAGAAGGATTTAGGCCCATTCATCTTGGAAGCTGGCATAACCAGGGCACCAGGCGGCGGATCCCATTGAACTTGTCGAGTAACTTCATGGTAAAAATAACTTTTCCCACTGGCACTATCTTTTACCGACCGCCAATCAGTAGGGAGAAGAACGAGTTGGCTGCAGTCGAGACCATCATCACCACTGTTGAATGCGAGGGATAAAAGTTGATTGTATTCTAGCTTTTGAGGCTGAATGCAAGAGGAATCCGAGGGAGCTGATCTAAATGTAGTAGAATAGCAGAACCTACTATCGATATTGGCGCCAGGATTGAAGTCGGGAACCAATGAAAGCAAGGCGGCCAAGTGGGCATCCGAAAGGATAGGTAGACTGGATAGTTGAGCCAACTATATGGATCAAATAGAGCTTTGTAGAGGCTAGGTGATTTAAAGCATTCGCTTAAAATAAAGTTTAAAATTGTTGTTGGTAGAGTGAAAAAGTAAATATTAAAACCTTTGAAAATAATACAATTAAATTCATTTGGAAGAGTTATTCCAAGTCAAACACTGCGCATAAATAGTTCCCAGGCTATACGAAACGTGCAAAATATAAGAATGTAAAATAACTTAATAGAAAGTGTGAACTTTAATAGAATCACGGTTGGCTTTCCTTGTATATATGTGGCTTAGCCAGAAAGACTTACTAAAGGCCACACCATCTTGATCTTCACATATTTGATTAACCAAGAAAGTAGGATTGACAAAAAATGCAATGATTACAGCTAGACAAAGATAATTGTAACTCAATCATGCAATTTGACCTTTCCACATTATGCAGAAAATATGTATTCGATCCTGGCTTCTGCATCATAATGATAGTGTCATTCGGTGAGCCAATGAAATCATTTATCATACCTCCACCCTAAAATTAGATCAAACACATGAGAGTAAGAGGATCAGGCTATTTAAGTTTATTGATACTTAAAATCGACTAAGATTTAGATAGGATTTTCACTTCGAAGGATTTTAAAAAACTTCATAATATCACTGATCAGAAGTTATCAAGGGTTAATTATTGGGTAAATAAAAGGCGAGAAGAAATTGCTTAGATATGGGATGATAAGACAGCGCAGGATCTAGCCAACCCGACCAAATTATGTTTCTATATTGACAGCATCCACTGGTCCAAGCGACGGTGCGGATAGGGCAGCGAACTTATCCTAAGTCCCTCTTGATTTTGAAACTATGTATCTCATGAAGAAGATATTTTTGTGGAGAATATGAATATATCGGAGAAATACACAGAAGAGACCAAACCGGAGATAGAAACGGAAATAATCCCGAGAATCCTGATAAATCAAGAGCCCATAAAATGAAGCCAATTAACGAAGAAACACATAAAGATACAAATTAATGACCAAATATAAATTGTTTGACCTGGTTTTTGCAACTTGATCACATTTTCAGGAAGACTTAGATGAACGCATCTTGGCTGGAATCCATAGTAATCCACTGAATAATAGACTTGAACCATTCTCAGACGTTTCACGGGTATAATCAGTAAGTCTTGCCAGGCTTAGCACCACGGTCAGAGGCAAATGAAGTCGATCCCTTGACTAATTGTCTGCTAAACAGTTGTGTAATATTTCATCTTGCCTGCTGTATTCGCCTATCGTATATCTTCATAATTTATTACCTGCTTATCTAAACCCAGTCGAGCTGTGCCCCCATTCCTGTGTTGGGATTGTTGACCCAAGACTGCAGTTTAGTCCTCAATTCTCTTCCTCCAAGTCCTATCAGTCTCCTTTCTACCCCGTAAGATAAGCCTCTTATCTGCCTGATTCAATGATTTCACTCGATCGAGGCCACCATATCCCTACTACTCA